TATCCAACACTAATATACATGATATATAACTAAGAAATCAACGATAGTCGGACGGATAACAACTACCCTAAGCCCACAATCAAACAAGAACAGGAAATAAGGCGAGTTATCGGTCCTAAGTCCTTCAAGTCTTACTTATATAAATATATTAGTGTGGTTACATTTTATAAGAAAATTTATTTAAGAAAAATCTTGTCTAAAGGGAACATTTAAAAAGTTATTTATTTATTCAAATTAGTTTTGAAAACGTAAAATCCTTTTATAAGGCGTAGTGGTAAATCACATGTGATTTGAACTACGGATAGTGAATCACATGTGATTAATTTCCATAAACATGTATAATTGACTTGTATCCCCCCTAAAACATATAAAAACATTTGAAATGTTCATTAAAGAGGTATGAACTCACCTGAAATCGAGTAAATCGGGTGAATCGGGTGAAAGTGTCGGTTGAGCATTTGGTGCCAAATAAGGACTTGTACACCTTTCAAGACCCTAATAACATGGGGAATATGTGTTTTACAAAGAATTAATCATTTTATGCCTTTTATGAAAACATTTAGACATTCTAGCATTGATTCGGGGTCTTAGGGCTTATAAGTGGTTCTCGGGGATTGTACAAGGCCAAGAAGGGTTTACGGGGGAGTCCAAGAGTTTAATCCCTTGGATTTTACGGCCCAAAGGCCACTCCTTGGGAGTTTACGACCGTAAGCCCCTAGGCTTGGCCGTGAACTCTTGTTCTCCTCCCAAAATGGATGTTTAAGGCCTTAATTCAATCCTCCATAATTCTAGTGAATATCTAGGGCCAATTTGGGGGTTTAAAACCTTCATTTGGTTATGTTTTGGGGAGTTTAAGGTCCTAGCTTGTGCTTGGGCCGTAAACTCCCTTTTAGGCTCTAAAAACTTGTGTTTTAATGTCCAAACTCATCTAGGTAATTTCCTTAATTAGTATACAAGCTTAAAGGAAGGAAAAACGGGACTTTGGTAATGATTTGGGGTGTTTACGGCCTAAGGAGCTTCTTAGGCCGTAAACTCCTTGTTTTCCACTAATTCACATGATTTTTGTGTTCTAAATACAATGGAGTATGTTTAGAACAAGTTAGGGAAGAATCTCTTACGTTTGGAAGCCGGAATTCGCGGTTTTGGAGTCGAAATCGGGTCTAGAGAGAGAAAGTAGTTAGAGAGTGTAAGTTTGGGGTGGTAAAAGGGTGTAAAGTGGCATCAAATTTTCTTAAATATGCCTCGGGTATTGCACCCGGTACACGACTACCCGATGCTCAAGTTTAACGGGGTTTAAACTTTTTACCCGGTAGAAGTAGTTGAAAAGTAATATAACTTTATTTTGTTAACGGGGTTAACACTTACAAGTTATATTTACCTATACTAAAATAATAATGTCGAGAAATACAGATAAATAGATATTAATTTATTGACGACTCCAAATATTACGGGGATATATATATATATATATATATATATATATATATATATATATATATATATATATATATATATATTTATAACGATGAATTCCGTTAGTGAAAACGGGGTTATTTAACGGAAATAAATTTGGGTTGTCACATCGTCCGGGAGGGGATCCCGAAGCGAAGCTCCAATGGTCTAGTTAGTGTCTAGATGAGAGGATAAGGGTTTAAATTAAGATAAAGGTAGAGGCGATCCCTTCTCTTGGAGGAGAAGGGTTCTTTTTATACTTGTTTTCCCGGGGACAAACCCCCGACAATACCTTTTTGTCCTTTCTGAGCCGACATGATGTGGGGGGTACTATTAGCGAATCGTGCTCCACTAGCGGTTGCTCGCAATTGGTGTAAAACTACCAGAGGCTAGCGTGCTAAGAGCTACGCTTGTCACATTGGGAGATGTGTGGTACTATTTTGTCTTGCTGTAGACCGAAGTTTCTCAACTTATGATTGGCCTTGGCGCTGGAGCGCCGAGACATAAGTGCGAGGCAGCAAAGGCGAGGGCTCGGGCCTAGCCTTTTTCGAGCAACGACCAATGACTAGGTCATCCTTAGGTGATAGTTTCGTTATCCTTGGCGTATTCCTAGTGGGATACATTAACAAGTCGTCTAGGCTAGTAAACCTTTACGTTGGAGTGACATAGCCAAGTTGTTCCAGCCTTGATCTGGACACGCATTTGGTAGAGATGATTCTGGTATCTGTTGTGACAAATCCATTTTGTGCAAGTAGTTTTTACTGTAGAAACCGTTCGATTCTCCCGCTTCACATTTTGAACTCCCCCTATTTAGGGGTGGTCGTATTCTTCGTGTTTCCTACACTTCGACTACCTCGGTTTTCTTCTTTACCTGTCTTCCCATACTGTTCTCTATTCACAGATTGCAATGGCCTTTGCCCGATCTAGGAGTGACCCAGTACCGGAAGAGTTTGAGTCCCTTCATTTCCGATTTGGGTTTATGTCTGAACATGAAGTGTAGTTTCCACAAGAGGGGGCTATAATTTACCAGTCGTCGACAAGGAAATTCGGGGTCCAATGTCAATCTTTGAGACAAGATTTTGTCTTCTGATATAGATTTCTTTGATGAAGTCATGCTAGAGTAAGGTTTTTTATGTTCACGAACTTACACCCAATGTTGTTAACAAGATCGTTGGATTCGAGTTGGCTTGCCGAGCCCTGGGTGTGCTTCCTCAGTTTCGGTCCTTCCAGTCTTTTTTCAATTTATCCACCCAATCTAGCATTCATACTTTCTCTCAGTGTCATAATACTCATGCATTTATTGTTAGCCAGAAGATATCTTGGAAGAAATGGCAGGACCAGTAGTTATAGGTCAACAACGAATTGATTGGTCCTGGCTATCCCTGTGTGCCTATCACTTCAGGTCGGGAGCCACAGTTTTCGGGCACTAGTTTTTCCATGGATCAAAATTTAACGAGGATCTGCTTCAACGGGGAAGATTGGTAGGATTGCATTCCAGCGACAGCAGGGATGAGTGTTGCTTGGTGGGCGTGAACTTCTATGCCTCAATTTTACGTAGAGAAGGACGGTAAGTATCGCTTCCCTGCCCCCTCCCCCCTTTGAGAGGCTTCCCTTGGGGAGTAAGATAGTTGTTTGATTTTTGTTGTTCCAATTTGCAGGCATTGAGAGGCTTTGGTCTCTCGAGGGGTTGTTATGTGGGAATTTTAAGGGTGACCTTTAGTATCGTGAAGTACCCTTGGTGGAAACTCTTCAAGCTCTTGTCGACACTCTTATTTATAGACTGAATTCCTGATAGACTCGCCTAGTCGGCTCACTGACTCGCTGAGTCGATGCCACTTGTCAGCTTTCTGGTGGCGAAACGTCTGCGGCCTACATTGCGTCACGCTACCTCTTTTGCAGCAGTACCCTCCCGACTTCTAAACCCCGTAACTTTTGCATATGAGCTCCTTTTTTTCCGTTATTTATATCCACGTGTAGGTAAAAACAAGATCTACAACTTTCATTTTGACTATGCTGGCTAATTCTCGACCGATCTTTAATTTAACAGTAGGTGAGATTAGATTGTTAAATGTCCGCATAAAATTCATAACTTTTACATATTGACTCCGTTTTTGTCTGTCTTTTTATCGTTAAGTTCCTATTAATGAGACATTCAACTCTCATTTAGGTCGTGTAGGCCAAAAACCGCTCGATCTAAAATTCGAGTTTCGGGCCATGCACTGCTATTCCAAATCTTAGAAAATTCATAACTTCCTCATTCGAAATCAGATTTGGGCATTATATACTTGGTTTAACGTATACTACAACTTTTGTTTAGATCACTAAGGCTAAAAAATCCTTTATCGTAAATTCACTATTTACGTTTCCCGGTGTCGTGCCGGTTTTGCCGTAAAACTTCGACGGGCCATAACTTCTTCGTTATAACTCAGATTTTGGCGTTCTTTATATGTACGGAACCATTGAGAAATATTCTAAAACTTGGTTAAGATTATTTATTCTAAATAGTCTTTTGTCGAAAAGTCATTTTCGACCCCTGTTATCTCTAAATTGACTAGCCTGGATCTCCGGGGGGATACATTTTCCAATTGAGATGAGATGCTAGAGGTAAACGTGGTTTTAGTACAATAAAAAAATGCACAACAACTCTTAGACAATTGGCATGCGACTTAGCCGCATACGCGTTAGATGAGTATTTGAAAATATGTGAGAGGATTGGTCGAGAATGTGCATATATTTTTTGTGAGTATGTCATAGAGCTTTATGGTGACATATACTTGCGACATCCAACTAGAAATGATGTCGAACAGTTGTATGTCGCACATAAAGCTAAACATGGATTTTCATGAATGTTTGGTAGCATTGAGTGTACATATTGGGAGTGAGCAAATTGTCCCAATGCATGGCGAGGTCAATTCACATGCGGTGATCACGGTGTGCCGACTATTATACTAGAGGTCGTTGTTTCACATGAACTATGGTTTTGGCATGCATTCTTTGGTATGGTGGGGTTAAACATCGATATGAATGTGCTTGGAGTGTCTCCGATATTTAATGAAATTTTGCAGGGTGAAGCACCAAACATGTTGTACGTTGTGAATGAACATTAATATAATTATATGTGTTACCTTGGTAATGGGATATACCAATAATACGCTACGTTTGTCAAGTCGTACTCATTTTCGACCGATGAAAAAAGAAAATTGTTCAAGTTAGCACAAGAATCGCCAAGGAAGGATGTGGAACGGGAATTTGGGGTCCTTAAACAAAAGTGGAACATTATCAAACATCCGACACGATCATGGGATAATGTAAAATTGACGAAGATATTGACTGCTTGTGTTATTTTACATAACATGGTAATAGAAGAAGAGGGTAGGACTATTTGTATGTATACTCTATACGATATGCTTAATCCACCTGCACTAATACAAGTCGGTGACCCGACATATTTCACAAGACTTTTGGAAATACAAAAAACAGTGAAACACATCACAATCTACGTTATGATTTGACTGAGCACATATGATAAATGCAATTCCAACAACACGATGTTAATGACGAGGACGAAGACACGTATGACGAAAATGGGGTTGGTTGCGACGCGGACGACAACGACAACGAATAATATTTTCTATGTTTTTTTAGTAATTTAGGTTTTAAATGTTTATGTTTTTTAAAGTATTTTAGAATTTAAATATTTGTTATAATTAATGTAAAATGTTTTTAATTAATATTTATTTATTTATTTTTGTTTAATAATTATTTTTAAATTATTCTAATATATAAAAAAAAGATAAATACAAAGGAATGGTAACCATTTCCAATAGATAGTGGGCTAGTGGTAGACATATAGTGAAGCTGACGTGACGTATAGGTGACAATACTATTATAGTGAGTTGGTAGTGATCATAGTCCTTACCTAAACCATACAATTCATATAATCTATTATAAAAATCTACTCTAATAAATGAATATTTTTTATCACTGGTCATACTCTCATTCAATTTATCAAATATCATTTAGTGTTTATTTTGAATTAATTTTTTTTCCACACCTCATTTTATGAATTTCTCGATTTTAATAAATTTCATATAATACTTTAGTGTAATAATTACAATAAATGTAATAATCAATTTCATTAATAATCTTACATTCTTATTTCAAAATTTTCAAATTAAAGCTCATTAGTTTATTTTGTTTATTTATTTAAATTTAAAAGATAAAAAAATTGATTTTAATAATTTATTATTTTTTTAAATTCAAAATTCTTAAATATTTAGACTTTTATATTTATTTATTTTTTAATTAACCCATACCCTTCCTAATAAATAAAAGATTTTTTTGCCACATGTCACATTGTTATTTATTTTATCACATGTAATTTTATGATTATTTTAAAATAAATTTTATTCCACATGTCGTTATATGATTTTTTCATTTTATTAAATTCTAGATAGTATTTAAATGCAATAATAAATGCACATCAACTTTATTAATGAACTTCCTTCTAATTTCAAAATTACTAAATTAAAGATTTATTAATTTTCTTTATTTGTTTATCTAATTTAGTTGTTTAAATTTAAAAGAGAAAAAAAACACTTTAATTTTTATAATTTAATATTTTCTCATTTTTCTTATAAATTCAAATTTCTCAATTGTTTAAAATTTTGTATTTTTTTTTTAAATAAACTAATGTAATATATGAGTGTCAGATCTAGTCTATTATAAATAAAGAACTTTTGTGCCACATGTCATACTCTCATTAATTTTGTCACATGTTATTTTGTGGTTATTTTAAATTAGTGTTTTTTCCACATGACATTTTATAGTTTTTTCCAATTTAGTAAATCCCACATAATATTTAAATGTAATAATTACAATAAATATAATAATAAATGGATATCAATTTTATTAATTGACTTTTCTTCTAGTTTCAAAATTAAAGTCTTATTAGTTTATTTTATTTATTTATCTAAAACATTTGTTTAAATTTAAGAAAAAAAAATATTTTAATTTTAATAATTCAATATTTGTATTTATTTTTTTTAAAAATTCAAACTTTTCGAATTTCATATTTAATTTTTCTTTTAAAGAAAACCATGTAATATTTCTTACACCTAGTAATATATAAAATATAAAAGAAATTTTTATAATTCTATTTTATTGCAGGGTAGGAGTGTAATACTGTAATTTTCTTTTTCTATCAGATCTAGGGCGGCATATATAAACCCCGAAGATCGATGCTAGGGTTTTATCTGTTATCTCAGTTCTCCGTCACTCTCAGCTTCCGTTCATCGCTCAATATCTTATCGACGCCAAGGTACAGTTTTTTCGCTTTCGTTACCATCTGATTTCACAAATCAATTTTATTTGTAAATCTATTTATGCACAACACTTTAGCTAATTTAACGATTCGGTTTCTATAGTTTGGTATAATAACTGAGAGCTATGAACCCAAATTACGAGGTCGCTTGATATTGTTATTATCGACTGTTTGACTGTTAGAGATGTATAGCATTCGATTTTTTTTTTATGTTGTTTATGTTCGTCATTTGTGAAGTTACTTAGGGTTAGAAGATTATTAATTTGCTTTGCATATGCATCTGATTATTGTTAGTTATTCCACACGTTTTTTATTACTTGTGGCAGATGAATGTCGAAAAGCTACAGAAGATGGCAGGTGCTGTGCGCACTGGTGGGAAGGGAAGCGTGAGAAGGTGTGTCTCTAATATGTTGTCGTGCTTTAGAGATGCGTATTTGCTTAACTTTGTTTTTATCACCTCTTATTGGACAACAGAATTGCAAAATAACAAGGAAATGGACAAAAGAGAATGTATCTGTATTGAATTTTGATTGTTTACATCTTCAATTTGACCTAAACCTGCAGAAAGAAGAAGGCTGTACATAAAACAACCACCACAGATGACAAGAGGCTGCAGAGCACTTTGAAGAGAATAGGTGTAAACGCAATACCAGCAATTGAAGAAGTTAACATTTTTAAGGATGAAACAGTTATCCAGTTCTTAAACCCTAAAGGTACCAATTTTAACTCTTATCCTTTTATTATAACTATAAGTTAACAGGAGAAATCAATAATCTTTGTTCATATTTCTTCAGTTCAAGCCTCTATTGCTGCCAACACATGGGTTGTTAGTGGTACTCCTCAAACAAAGAGTAAGTTGCCTTTAATATATCTTGCTTATATTATTAAGATGTTTTTTTTAGACTTAATGGGGGGATATTGCTATGTTTTATATGAGTGGTGTATGATAATATCTGTTTTTAATTTTTTTTTTATCTCAGAATTACAAGATATTCTCCCTGGTATCCTCAACCAGCTTGGTATGTCTAAACACACCATGTTTTCAATTAGATTCTGTGTTTGTTTTTTGGTGATAAAAAGATGACATTTTTTTATTGTTTGTTACAGGGCCAGATAACTTGGATAACTTGAGAAAGTTAGCAGAGCAATTCCAGAAGCAGGTGCCAGGTGGCGCTGAAGCCGCTGCTGCCACATCAGCACAAGTGGACGATGATGATGAAGTCCCGGAACTTGTGGCAGGTGAAACCTTTGAAGCTGCTGCTGAAGAAGGACAAAAATCATAGGCTTTTTTTGAGGTCACATTTTATATTTGCATTATTTATTGCTTTGAACCTTTTTCTTTTGTTCAGTAAAAAAGTATTTGATACATTCCATTTTGATGTGTTTGTTTTGTAACTTGTAGGAATATGTATGATTTTTAGTCATCTTGGTCTACTTGTTTCTCTAGAAGTCAGGGGAAATTATCCTTTCACAACAATTTATGCTTTATAGGATTGTACAATTTGGATACTGTACAACACTTTAAAGCATATGTTGTTGTGTAGTAACCTTGTTGTATAAGGATCAGCTCATTAAAAGTTTTTGGTAGGAAACGAATATGATTTTGTCAATGGAAAGTTAAAAGGGATAACATAGACATGTGATATATCATACAAAAGTTCATTTAACTTGTTTATGTAGAGTATGTAAATCGTTTTTTCACTATTTAAAAGCCGATTAGGCCATTTCCATTTATAATACCAAAAAAACACCAAAACTGTGATTCTTCAAAACCATTTTTTTTTTTTAAAATCTAACACATTGAAAGTAGCACATGAAAAACATAGTTATTTATTATTTTAACTAGGCGAATTCTCGTTGCGTGAGAATACAATTGTATAGTTAAAGTAGTAACTTTTACTAAATTATTATTTAATATTTCTATTTTGAAACAAAATGTTAGTAATAAAGCAAAAATATAGTTAACATATTAGTTTTATTAAACAATTATGTAGTTAAAGTAGTAATTTTTACCAAATTATTATTTAGTATTTCTACTTTGAAACAAAATGTTAGTAGTAAATCAAAAATATAGTTAACATATTAGTTTTATTAAACATTATAGTTTTAATTTTTAAGTAATTTTGATATATGTAATTATTTGATAATTTTATAAGTCGTTTAAAATTGTGTAAATTATATATTAAACGAATGATAATATAACAGATTAACGGTTAACAAAATGTATGAACAAAAATATGAATTACAACTTTTAGTAATATAAAAATAAAAAAACATATATTATAATATTTGTATTAAAAAATATATATATACAACGAATAATAAAAATATGAAAAATAAACACTACAACTTTTAATAACATAAAAACATTAAAAAAATCTATTATAACATTTATATTAACTATTTATATTTAAATCATAAATCTCTTCAAATATATTAATATTTTTAATAAGCTAAACTTTACAACCTTATAAAAAAAGAAAATAAAAAGTTATTAATAGTTATTAATTAATAATCATAAGTTAAAGTTTTTGAATTGTAACTAATAAATATACATAAATTAGAAAACTCTTTTTGTAGTGTGAGTTTCAAATGAATACAGTACTTAAAAATGTGTATTTATTATTATTATTATTATTATTATTATTATTATTATTATTATTATTATTATTATTGATGTATCATTTTAATCCCTCAATTATTAAATATAAAGATATTTAATTATGAATTTATAACAAACATAGATGCATATATACATTTTAAACAGATCACATATAATATATATTTTTGTAAATGTCATATATAATTCTTAATATGGATAAATTACTTTCATATGAAGAACATATAATAATAAGTTAATCATAATTATATATAAAATGTTAAAATTTATGTTATCTTTTAAATATTGTCTTGTAAATATGTTGTGTAGAATAACTTAACAACAAAATAATAGAAAATAAGCATAATCAAAAAAGAATAATTACAATCAAATAAATAAGAACATTGAGTGGTTGGATATATAAATAAAAATGTTACATAAATATACATTTAAATAAAAAGAAAAAAACTAACATTCGTATACTTTGCTAAAAAAAACTTATATACATTTTCTAAATCTTCTTTAATCATTTAACACCATTCAACCATAGAAACTTGATGACAGTTTTTCACTAACCTGCAATCAAAATATTTTCTTGAAAAAGAAGAATCAGAAATATATTCCAAGCAAAACATTGATGTTTGGAGAGTCACATTGAAGATTGAGTAATATGTACAAATCACATATAAAGATCAAATGAGAAAACTGAATATAAATAAATAATAGAAAAGCTTCATTCGTTTTGGTTGAAAGAAAAAAAAATCATATTACAATTACCATCGATGCGACATAACCTATTTCTTCAAATCATCATATTTGATTCGTGAATGGTTAAACTATATGAAAACTATTGAATCACAATATATTCAACCAAATGATGACTTTTTGTAAGAAAAATATACTAATATAACCACATATATAATAAGAGAATATAAAAAATTATTCGAAATTTATACATACTGTAAATGTTATTAATTAAGGAATATAAAAAGTTATGTAAGTTTAAAATCAATATGGTTTGTGAAAACAAAACACCTCTAAACATATGGTTTTGAATGGTATGGTTTGAGAAAACAAAATATCTTTAAACATATGATTTTGAATGGTCTCATTTATACTACTGGAAAAAAAAAACATAACATGATCAAACTATGAGTAAAAAAATGATACATTCATCCACAACCTTGACTTGTAGATCTCTTTTAGAGACTCCATCACTGCAAATACGTTCTAAAAGAACTGTTGTAACAACCAAAAATATTTACCAAAAATTTTAAACTTTTCAAAACCCATCCGGATAAATAAAATTATTCAAATATCAACATAGTTCACACATTGTTTTCAAAACGATTTCATATCAGAGTTCCCAGAAATCCAAGTCATAAAATGTAAGGATGTGTACGTCACGCCTTCGCCTTGCCATCGTCACCTGAAGTACTCGAAACAATAATCAATAAATGTAAGTTTGAAGGCTTAATGAGTTACCCCAAAGATACCAACATATACAACCCCGCATAATCATAACAAACAACATGTATAATGAGCCTTCAGCATGACTGGGCCGCCTCGCAGGGCCTACAACCTATCCGGACCGCTCTCAAGCCTTCGGCATGACTGGACCGCGTCACAGGGCCTACAACCTATCTGGACCGCTCGTCGGGCCTTCGACATGACTGGACTACCTCACAGGGCCTACAGCCTATTCGGACCGCCCCGGATATGTTGGCCTACAGCACAAAGCAGGACCGCCTCAACCCAACCACCAGACAAACAATCATGTGCACATAAATAACATATGCTAGCATATAAATATCTCAAACAATCGTTCTAATAAATCAATTTGCATAACAACATCTTATAACTAGGATACCAACATAACATGCCACTAAGCATACCATCAATCTAACTACCACAGTGCTAATCAATAAGCATAGCATGCGATAAACCCGGATACAATCTGAAGGGTCGACATTGGTGCCTTAGACCCTGTTGATATAGAGAATAACTCACCTAGCAAGTAGTGCAAAGCTGAACTGAGAGTCTGTAACCGCTATCTCACCGACCACCTCGACTACCTAAAATGATGAATACTAAATTAATAAGTGGGATCTCAAAATTACCAAAGGGGTCCATAGTGTCCATTTCCCTAATTTGGGCCCAAGGCCGATATCAATGCACTACCCCAAGTCCATATGCGCAAGCCCAACAATGGCCCAATTTCAAATATTTAGGGCCCAGTGAACTGAGAGTATGTAACAGCTATCTCATCGACCACCTCGACTGCCTAAAATGATGAATACTAAATTAATAAGTGGGATCTCAAAATTACCAAAGGGGTCCATAGTGTCCATTTCCCTAATTTGGGCCCAAGGCCGATATCAATGCACTACCCCAAGTCCATATGTGCAAGCCTAACAATGGCCCAATTTCAAATATTTAGGGCCCAATAAGGCCCAAGTTCAAATAGTCTAACAATGACCCAACCCGAAGCCCAAATGTCAAAAGCCCAATCTGAGGACGTACATGGGGTGTACCCCTCCGGTAAGCTGGGCGTACTCTTGCCCTATGTTGACCGCTATCGGGGTGGTTGACCCCGTACGTTGGGCGTACACGGGGTTTCACGAAAGCCCTAATAAGTGCTTAATGGCTTAAGCACTTAAGCCCAAATTCCAGATCCATCAACCAAATGTGCCATAGAACCATAAAGTTTCGAACTTTATCACTTTGGACGTCCAGAAAGTTCTTAACACATGGTCTTAATCCATTAAGACCTTCTTACTTCATGCATGAAACAAATCTAGCTATTGGGACTTCATTTTTATCACTTAGGACTTCTTCTAAGGTCTGAAAGGACAACCCATTTCTTCCAAATCATCATATGCACCATTTTTGGACTTTTGGGATAAGAATGTTTCCATAAAGTTCAATGACTAGATCTATATCATGCAAGTATAAAGTTCCATGCTTTTTACCTTCTGGAGCTTCTAGGGCACAACAGAACTTCAGATTTATAGCCTTGTTCTCATTCTCCAAATTCGTGGTTCAATGACTTCACCTTCAAAGGTTCAAAATGCACACTAACTCACACTCACACAAAACTAGGGTTTGGAACGTTTTCTGGGATATGGAGGCTGAGGATAATCAGAGGAAGTGAGCTATAAGGGTGTTTATATAGTCCCAAACCCTAAATATTAAGGTTTTCACCTGACATGAGTACGCCCAGTGTACATGAGTGTACGCCCAACGTACTAGGGCGCGCCTAGTACGCTCAACGTACTCTTTCCTGACTCAAAGTTGCAACTTTAGCCCTTATACTTCTCATGGCCCAACTCAACCAACCCCAGAGACCACAAATGACAACTACTATAAATAAGAGGTATTCGAAATATACATGCAAAGTCCGGGATGTTACAACTCTCCCCCACTTGACCTAGACTTCGTCCCCGAAGTTTGCTGTAGCGAATAGATCCGGGTAGTGCTCCTGCATTTCGGACTTTGGTTCCCAAGTCCACTCGGATACCTTCTGATGCCGTCATTGCACCTTTACTAGAGGTAGTTCAGGCGCTCGTCAATCTGAACATCATCCAACGACACTATCACATCCTCATCCAATATGCACTTCTGCAACCGGGAAACGTGAAAAGTGTTGTATATCTGACTGAGCTCCTCCGGAAGATTCAGTCTATAAGTAACCTTGCTAACCCTGGCCATAACTCAAAATGGTCCAATAAATCGGGGACCCAATTTTCCCTTCTTCCTGAAGTGGATCACACCCTTCTAGGGTGAGACCTTCAGGAGCACCATCTCACTGACCTGAAACTC